ATCACCTCTGGTCCCCAAGTACAAGCAGGAAGACCCAGGGGGAAGACCCCTGTGGCTGGAGACCATCTAGGTTATGTGTTTCCATTTTAATACAACCAGATCTTCAGCATGTCTCTAGAGTGGGGTTCTGGGAAGTGGGGACCCCAGTCCTCGCCATGGGGTTGAGTGAGGTGGGGTGAATCTTCCCTACCCTGGAAGATGCTTCAGTATTGATGGGCCTGCCATTCTCAACAGGACCTGGTGGGAGCCTGAGGTGGAGGAGCTGAGGCTGAGCCGGGCTGGGCTTAGAGATTCCACAGGAGGAAAATGACCCGGCCCACGTGGGGCAGGACCCTCCTTTGCAAACACGAGGACCACAGCGACAGGCAAGAGGAGGTGTCGGAGCAGGGCAGATAAAGGGAGCAATGGGAGGAGGGAGAGACAGAGGATATGGGGGGATGGAGGGGAGGACAGAGAGGGAAGATGGAGCTAAGGTGGGAGAGAACCACACAGAAAACAAGAGAGAGACAGAAATACACAGAGACATACACACAGAAAGAGACCCTGAGAAAATACACCCAGAGACAGAGACAGCACCAAACATAGAAACAGAAACAGGGATAGAGTCATGGAGACAAAGAGAGAAACACTGAGAGACCTGCCTACAGAGATGGGCACCAGAGTGGAACACAGGTGAGAGGTGGGAGGAAAATGGAACACAGCGCCCACCTCCAGCCAAACCACCGCTGAGCTAAACCACCGCCCTTCTCCCTGGGACAGAGGCACTGGAGCCTGAGAAGGGGGCGGGATTGCTCCAGGTTCTACTGTTTATGGACATTATGTTAGTTTTAGGTGGCCCAGAATTTGAACCTGCTTCCCATATGGGCACAGGGAAACCTGGGGGAGGCAGAGAATACCTCTTGCCATAGAGCTGAAATGAAAGGCCCTCCCTTTCTAGGCTCCCCTGTAGTCAGAGCTGGACTGGGGAACCAAAAGCTCTCCCCTTCCCCCACTTCCTCAGATGCTCTGGCACCGAGGAAATCCATGAGCTGGGGGCCCACAACATGGAGATGGGGAGAAGGCTTCCTGAGGACCACTGCAGGAAAGCTTGAGATCCTAAGGCAGTGATGACGGCAGGGCTGCGGCCCATTCAGTGACCAGGGCTCATGGTATTGTCAAAGCCCACTCAGAGAGAGTGGGGGTTCCCTCGCTAGGCCAGCTCTGCTCTAAATTCTTGGCTGGGGACCCCATATCTGATTCTCCATCCTACCCAATAATTACATACACTTCCCAATATCCTTTCAACAAATCCCTTCTCTGTTTAGTCCATCAGAGTTACTTCCTCAGAGGCAGCAGAGCCTTAGTTAGAATCCTCATCCTATTATAAGTTGTGTGACTTTGGCAAAGTCACTCCTCTGTGCCTCAGTTTCCTCATGTGTAATATGAGGATAACACTATGTCTCTGTCACTGGGTGAGTGTAAAGATCAATGTGTTAACATAGGTCAAACGACAGTACAGACACACAGAACCTGGGCCACTGAAGCAGGAGGAGGTGGAGGTGGGGAGAACACTGGAGGGGACTCAGACTCATGGACACTTAACTTGGTTCTGCCACAGACTAGCATAAGTGGCCTTGAACAAGTCTCTTCTCTTCTCTTGGCCACTGCTGCATCCAGAAATAGTCTCTGGGTAAGAATAACAAGGCTCTGATCAAGCCTCCCACACTCACTCCGGTGGCTGTTAGCTAACCACCTAAGAACTCTCGAATACCTTGTCTCCAGCCCAAGGCGCTTGCCTAGGCTTCCTCATCCAGCCAATTGCCTTCTCTGTATCTTCATTCAGATGTCCCTCCAGCTCCCCGGAGTCCACATATACTCAGCTGTGCTTGTTGATTTCCTGGTGTGGTCACTGACTCCTCCCCCTTCCTGTCCCACGCTAGTCTTGTCAGTTACAGATGCGTCCTCCTTTGCTCCCTAGCCTCCGCTTGACCTGGGTCAGTTACAGTGTCTCCTAACCCCTTCTTTTGCAGCCAGAGACTCTAAGCCCTGAAGCTGAATTCCTACTCTTACAAGCTGCTCCAGGCTCCCTGCCACACCAAAGGTGAACTCTTCTGTGATGCCCTACATCACTTGACCCACACCCACTCATCTGCTCTCATTTGCTTCTTTCTCCTGCTACCCGTACTCCATATAACACCAGCCAGTCCTGAGGCACAGAGCATGGTCCCATCTCTTCCCCTAGACCGATGACACTCTCACCTGCTAAAATCCCACGTGTCCCTGAAAGTCCAGCTCAGAGGTCAAGTACTCCCTGACCCTCCAGGGTGAAGGCCTGAGTCTTCTTCCTGTCCCTTTAAGCTCTTCTCGCAAATCATCCTTCACAGAGGCAGTGCAGCCAGGTGGTTAAGAGTGAGGGCTGAGGGAACTGGTTATAACCTTGAAAAGTTACTTCACGTCTCTGAGCCTCAGTTTTCTCATCTGCAATATGGGCACAAGAGCAGTACATATCTCAGGGGGCCTTAGGGAGGTGGGAACGTGGGGGGGTCACGTATGCAAAGCTCTCTCAGTGGTAGCTGGCACCTGGACCACGGTCCACATTTGGGAGTTTGGTGGCTGATTCTCTGCGCTCAGCTGAGTGGGTGGAAGTTCACAAGGACTAATGCCTAAGCTGCTGTCCCACCCGGACAATGCCTGCCCTCTAAACAATGAGGCTTCACGGGGATCTGGCTGCAGCGTAACAAAATCCGGCAGGAAAGAGCCAGGACCCTTGCACCTCTTCCCCCAGGCTTCTCAGAGGACCTCTTTTCCTCCCTGTGTCCTTTCTCCAGGAAAGATCCCACTGAAAAGGCAGCGGAGCGAAGGAAGCAGTGGCCAGGAGGCAGGGAGGCGAGAAATCAACCACTGCTATTGACACTGGCTGCCGCGGCTAGTCACAGCTCAGCTGTCACCCTGGTTAATAGCAACGCTCCTCTGCCCCCATGTTTCTCCCATTCACCAGGAGTCAGAGTGTGGGCTGTACTCCGGTCCAAATGAAGACAGCGTTCATTAGTGCCAGGGGCTGATGGGCACCACATGTGCCAACCTTGGTGGTGCCCTGACCTTTCCTTGTTCTCATCTGACATGGTGTGAGTGGTGTGGAAGGCGCTGCGACACCTCCTTTGGGAAGTCTTCCCCACCTTCCCTCCCACCTTCCTCATCCACAGCGCCCCGTGCACTCCCCCATCACGGCATTTCTCGCTCTGTATCCTTTTGTCTGTTGCAATTGTGAGTGAAGGCCTCAACGCCAGTGCAGTGGCTGGCACATAGTAGCTGTTTAATAAACTATCTGAAGAGAAGAGACCCAGGCCCTGTCCTCGGGGGCTCCAGGTGGGTTGAGGAGAAAGGAGACAGCCCAGGCTGGGGTAGGAACCAGAGCAGGGCTGCCTCAGGTCCACAGGCTGAGGGGTAGAGGAGCCGCATCACCTCACTTAGCGTTTATCTCTGGCTCAGACTGAATCAGGGACCCTGACCTCCACTGCTCCACCCCACAGAGCTCACAGGATCCTAAAAACACAGTTTTATAATCCCAGGACTGGCAAGGAGCATGGAAGCCATTCCTTCTGCTTGCGCATCTCCTGGATCAGGGACCTCACCTCCTCCCTGGAAGGTCTATCTTAATCATGGGTAGGAAGCGTGGTGAGATGACGCAGAAATCTTCCTCAGCAGCCCCACTAGGTCTCCCACCCCGCTTCACCAGGAGCACCACTGCCATTGGACTCCTCCAAGCAAGCTGCTCTCTGGGCCCACAAGAGCCCTCCACTGGTGCAGACAGGGCAATGCTGCTTAGCATCAGATGCAGAGGCTGCAGTCTAGCCCACTAACCATCTCTCTGGGTGAAGGTATGAGTTTGGACAGACATACGTGTTTGTGTGTGTGTGTGTGTGTGTGTGTGTGTGTGTGTGTGGGTGCATGCACGAGAGCATGCATGAGTGAGCTGATGGGGAGCTGTGCCACTATTCAGACACACAGAGGTTGCTATGATGTTTCTAGGAAGAGGGGCTTCAGACAAACAGGTGCCCTCCACTGCTGCCTAGCGTCTCAGAAGGCTCTTTGCTCGTGGGGGTGGGGCTGGAGATGTGAGTGGCCCTTCAAGGTGGGCTAGTGATGCTGCATCCCACAGCCTCACAAGACACTGCCACTTGGCTCCCATTGGACCTTCCACGGGGCATAGACTCAGGCACCCCTTTCCCCTCCCGGAGCCCATTCAGAACCACCCCACTTGGATGCTGTGTGTGACTCCTGGAGCATATGCTGCTGTCCTCCACAGAGTGGCAAGCTAGCCAGTGATTTGCCAGGAGGAAGGGGGGCACAGGCTGTTCTCCCCAGGAGGTGAGGGGCGGGCCTGATTCAGACACCACGCTGAGCTGCAGGAGTAATGCTGACCACTGCCCCTGACTCGCAGCCCAGAGAGCCAGTCCCAGGACATCCAGGTAGGGAAGAGACTACACCCCACACTCTGGTCCAGAAACAGCTACACTTCGCATGCCCAGCCCCAACACAAGCCTCACCCCATCTTTCCTGCCTCCTGCTCTCCCCTTCTCCCACAGTACAGTCTGACCACCGCACTCACCCTGGGGGTTGGGAACATATCCTAAGCGCCCCATCCCTCCCCACCGCCCCGGAGATGCGGGGCGGAAATTGGCTAAACAAAGAGAAGCCCTAACGGAGAAACTTCAGGCACCCAGAGTACATAATGTGGGAGATATATTTGTTTTCAAAAGGAAGGATTTCCTTCTCTTTCTGGGTTCTCAGCGCATGGAGCACGGGAATCGTGGGCAAATCGCTGTCTTACCGATGTCTGAAGCTACGGTGAGGTACGGGCAGAGGGAGCGCCCCTAATATTATGTCTTTAACGCCGGCGCTGTGCCCATGCCTTGGCTCTCAGGTCTTCGACGCTGGCTTCGGAGCCCTCGCTACCCCCTAAACTGCCCTCAGGGGAGCCAGGCGTTGAGCCCGCGGCGGAGGGTCCCAGGGACACTCACGGGTCGTGTTGTACTTGACTCCGTTGAAGTACTCGGGGCACGGCCTCTCCACCAGGGCTCCGGCCGCGCTCCGGGGCCAGCACGTCCCGATCTGGTCCAAGGTCGTGTTGCAGTAGGAGTAGGGACCTGGTGACGGGCGAGAGCGGAGCGGGGATCAGAGGGGCTGCTGGGGTCCGCGGGGCGCCGCAGGACGCAGGGCGCGAGGCGCTCGAGCGCGGGGACCCGGGCACACTCAACGCGCCAGACAAGAAGCCCGTGCCGCCCGGGTCTGCTCGCCTCTCGCCTACCCTCGGGGTGTAAGGGCAGCCCCCAGCCGTCCAAAACCAGCTCCTCGGCCAGTTCCAGGCTGCAGTTGGCCTCCAGCAGGCTATGGAGCAGTGCCGCGTCCATTGCGCCCAGGAGCCGCGCGCGGAGATGGAGTGTGACTGCGCGCCCAGTGTGGCTGCCAGGGGCTGGGTTCGAGAGTGAGCGGCCGAGAGAGCGCAGAGTCTTAGCTCCTCTCGCCCAGCCCCGACCTGCCAACAGCCTCCGGGCGCTTCGCTCGAACGTCGGGAGCTGCCAGGTCTGGACCTTAGCGGAGAGCAGCCGTAGAACGCACCCAGCTGCGGGTCCACCCGCTCGGTCGCGGCCAATGGCTGCACCAGGGGGCGGGGCCGGGCGGCTCCTCTCTGCCAGGCCCAGGCTCCCGCCCCCGGCCCACCAGTCCAAGTCCGCCTTCTCCTGCTCACACCAGGTCCCGAGGAGGGTGGCGGGAATGGACAGTGTGGGCCTTCGATGGCGGAATGACCTGCCCGAGGGTCGAGCTCTGGGGGCTGGAAAGCGCGCCCGCCCGCCCAAGGAGCTCGCCTCCTGTTTCTTCTCCTTGAGGGAGGACACTGGAGGGGATGACAGAGGGAGTGGAGAGCCCACGAGCAGATCTGCACTCTAGAAAAGCCCCCGTGGCCTCTGGGAAAGGAGTGGATTGGAGGGGCGTCGAGGGAATCAAGGGAGTCAGGAGAGAGGCTGGTGAGATCAAGAGACTTGAATAGGTGCAGACCTGTACCAGCCCATGGGGGTGGAGAGGGATTTCCGGGAGAACCAGCCCTGGTGAGGCAGGACTGGAGAGAGGAGTGGGTGGGTGGCTTCCAACAGGAGCCAGGAGGCAGGGGTAATGCCAGGTCTCCCGCTTGGGTGACTGGGGGCAGGAGTAGTGTTGCCATTCACTGAGATGAAGTCCAGGGGAGAAACTGGCTGAAATTATCTGAAGAACCTCAAACACCCAGGTCTTACTGCCTTGGGGTTCAGAGGGAATAAAACGAGAAGTGAGAACCTCTTTTCCTCTTGGCTTGGGCAGGGCAACCTGAAACTGGTTTCCACAGCCTGGGGTGTGTGTGTGTGTGTGTGTGTGTGTGTGTGTGTGTGTGTGTGTGTGTAAGTGTGGAGGGGAGCAGGGTGTGTGTGTGTGTGTGTAAGTGTGGAGGGGAGCAGGGTGTGTGTGTGTGTGTGTAAGTGTGGAGGGGAGCAGGGTGTGTGTGTGTGTGTGTAAGTGTGGAGGAGAGCAGGGTGTGTGTGTGTGTGTGTGTGTGTAAGTGTGGAGGGGAGCAGGGTGTGTGTGTGTGTGTGTGTAAGTGTGGAGGGGAGCAGGGTGTGTGTGTGTGTGTTTTAAGTGTGGAGGGGAGCAGGGTGTGTGTGTGTGTGTGTGTGTGTGTGTTTAAGTGTGGAGGGGAGATCAGACCCCACAGCAAGTGTGGAGGAGCTGAAAACCTTTACCTGGGATTTGCCCAGGCCCCTCAGGACTGCCTGCTCCTTAACTCCCCGTGGTGGCTTCATTCTGAATGGAGGGCAGGTCCACTACTCAGGCCTACTGAGGAGGGTGGGGGTGGATCTGGGCTCAAGATACAGGGCCTAGGATGTGGTTCACCTCAACTCAGGCTGGATTCTGGCCTGCCTTTGTCTCTGCTCTCCCTGCATGTCACCCCAATTCTCACCCTCTCTTCTGGGGCAGTTCCTCCATCAGTGAAATGTTCTCAAAGGTCCCTCCCAACCTTGAGACTCTGGTCCTGAGTTATGAGATGCAAAGACTGAGGGAGATATACATGTGTATGAATATGTATGTGTTTGCTTTTATCTTTAGAAGGCAGGGAGAGCTGGGACCCAGTCCCAGCTGGGCTGGAAGCCCCAGGGTAGCTAGTCCTATTCCTTCTTGCCATCTTCCACTGGGAACAAGGCTGCAAGAGCAGGCTAAGAGCATCCTGAGCCAGCATTATTCCCTGAGCAGGGCGAGGGGAGAGGCAGACTGGGCTGAGTTTGTGTGCTCCCGTCTCACCAGCCTCCATATTAATGCTGTTCTCATTGCCCAGGCAGAGCCAGAGAGCAAGCACGGGACTCTCTCTGGGGCCAGCTGATTGGCAGGTACGAGGTGCAGACCAGCCAGCCAGGTCTTTCCTCTGCCTTTTTAAATGGACAGAGCCCTTGGCTCAGCTCTGGGCAGCTGCAGAGGCAGAGGTCCCTTACTGTACCTAATAACCAGTGCCAGGAGCAGGCGAGGATCAGTTGGGTCCCAACCCCAACCCTAGGCAGAGTCCTGTCGCCAGTGCCAGGCTGAGACTCGGCCCGGGTCCCAGACCAAGCCCTGCTGCCCAGTGTCCCCCACAGGCTAGACTGTGGCTGGCAGCATCAGCCCATTTCTTCATTGGGAAGTAGTCTCATTCATGCACAAAGGAGGGTGCTCCACACACTGATCCCAGCACAGAGGGAAAGGAGAGCCCAAGCTAAAGTTATTAACCTGTTCATCACCAGAGCCACCGCGCAGGAAAAGCAGCTGTCTCGGGGGGAGGTGAGTGCCCAATGACCAGAGGCCAAAGACTTAACGTCTCACATGCAGGATGGAAGGTTGGCCTGGGTGACCTAGACTGCTCTTAACTGGAGAGCGCATGGGATAAATGTTCCTCTGGGAAGTGAGCATTTTAGGGGCAGAGTTAAAGGCCATTCTGCATCTTGACGGGACAGTCGGGACCTGAGCACAGGCCCACAGACCCAAGGTCCCCTGGCCTCCAGAATGCAGTGGCATTTCACTGTGGAGTTTATTATCACCAGCACGATTGTCTGTTTTTCTAGATGTGACAGAGAGGAAAATGAAAAGAGGAGCAGCTTTGGAACAAATGGATTTTACAGCTCATTTTAGTGTTTGCAAATAAGTAAATGAGTAAGAAATTGTAAAGAGCAAAAACTTTCCTAACCTAGATGAAATCCAACTACCATTAAAGTTTGGGCCTTTTTGCTAGCTAAGGAAGCAGAGGCAGGTGGGAGGTCCCTGGGATGGAGGTGAGCTCCCAGGCCAGGCACTGGGGCAGAGGTATTTGGGACAGTCTGTATGCCCCTGGGCTGGTAGGACAGGTTGCAAATAAGTTATAGGGAAGTGTGACAGGTGCTGGGGGAGACACCTGTGTGTCATGGGCAGCGTGGGGGCAGGTACCTCTGGCCCACCTCTGATGGTAGCTGCAATGGCAGTCCAGGTGCTCCAGGGTTCAGCTGACACCGGGTAGGCGTGTTCATAATGGAAACACATAATGGAAACACACACAGCATCTCACACAGTCATGGGTCTGCAGAGTACACACTTTCTCTCACTCATCCCACCACCCATCAGATATCCGCTAGAAACCAGGATTTAAGGGGACAGCCTGTCTTTGCATGTCTGAGGGGCTGTGCTCAGTCAGGCTGAAGAGTCCCAGTTCTGTATGAACTGGGACAGGCTGTGGGGGTTCACTGTGGTTACAGTGGGGCTGCTGAGGGCATGGAAGGCTTTGGAGAGGCCAGAAGGTGCCCCACTCTTGCCCTGTAGCACTGGGGATAGTGCCCCAGGCCAGGCCAGACACTCTTTCCCCATCCTACCTCACTTCACCTTGGCACAAGGGAGATGGCCTGGTGTCTTCAAGTGGAGCCATGGGACCAGGCTGTGGAGCAGGAAGGGTCCCTGGCAACTGTCCAGCCCCACACTCTCATTTACAGATGGCCAAATGGAGGCCCAGAGGAGGAAAAGGAATTTCCCCCTCCAACCCCTCTCAGGCCATCCTCCTGTCCACAGCAGCCAGACTGGGCTCCCTGCCTCCTCCACTGGGCAGAGGAAGTGATTTTTCTAAGATTGTGTGACTTCTTGCAAGAGCAGCTCTCCATTGCCCTTGGGACGAAGCCCAGCTCTTTAGCACGGCAAACAGCACTCTTCATGATTGTCTATTCCCCATCCTCTCCTCTTCCTTAACTTTAGATGCCCTTGGGGTCCACTCTCCATTCCCTTGGAGCATTCTCTACCTCCACACCTTCATAGGTGCTGTTCCCTCTGCCGGGAATGCCCTTACCACTCTATTCCAGTTAACCCAGCTGACTCCCACCCGCCCTTCTAATGTTCAGCTTAGCCCCCACCTCCTTTGTCTTATCTGGGGTGGGTGGCTCTTCATGCCTCGGTCTGCTGGGGGCTAGCCTGTATCACATCAAGGTTATTGGCTTTTCTGTTGTGGAAGGCAGGGCTGGTCATGTTCACTAACCAGTCCCCAGCACCCATTAGAGTGCTTCATGCTTGGGCTCAGCAAATCACCACTGAAGGAATGGATGCTTTGGCAGCAGCCCTGTCTCCTGAGATCCAAGGGTCTCTTCACATATGATCAGTCCAGGTGTGTGTGTGCGCAAGTGTGTGTGTGTGTGTGTGTGTGTGTGTGTGTGTGTGTGTTGGATTAGGGAGTTATTTCCAAGGGATCCTTGATTCCATTTGGACCCTTACATTGCCTATGGACTGAAAAAATAACATGCCTTACAACTTACAGTATATGCTCTATTAGATTACTCTGTGATGAAAAAACAGAAATAATCCATTTAAAGCCTGCCTGAAGTCTCTTGTGATTATGTGTGTTTTTTCTTTATTTGGACCTTAAGGTCATGCAATTTAATTGATCATAGTCTTTGATTCATGTCCCTTTGTCATCATTAGCCTATACATGGCCCAATTTTATTTTATTTTAGTCTTTTCTTTTATGGAAGTTTGTATGTAGTAGCACATATAATGATCTATTGCCCAGTCCAAAACTAGATCATTACCAATCACTTACAAATTTATCTATATACTCCTTCCTCAGAGGGAACATTCTTTTGAATGTTGCATTTATCATTCCTTTGCTCTTAGTTTTTTCAGTTTTATCGCACGTACATACGTCTAAACAATAGGTTGTTTGGTTTTACTTGTTTCTGAGCTTTAGGTTAGTCAATATGCATTTTCTCAATTGGTGGACACCTAAAAGGAGATACCTATCATGTGGGGACCAGAGAAACTATTCCTGAAGTTCAAGGGCACCCTAACAGCCAGTACCGCCCACTGCAGCGGCATGGTTAATGAGGGATGATGCATCCCCACGGTGGCTGCTAGGCAGCACCACCAGCAATGTGGTGGATGAATAATTAATGACATAGGGAAAGGTTCACTCTGAGTTACAAGAAGAAAAAGCAGGTTACAGAACTGTAGACACAGGATCATCCTGGTTTTGTGGAAAAAGAAAAAACACGAGACTCTATGGTGTGATAAACTTCTGGCAGATAGAAACATTAAAAAATTCCTGGGTTGTGGGATAATGAGCATTAATAGTCTTCTTCGGTTTTTAAAAATATCTTTTTCCAAATTAAATATATACATATATTACATATTCCATTTATAAATTGGATGAATGATATTACAAGTCAAGCAGGGCAGGCCTTGTGATTGTGTTGTTTAAACTAACCAGTCTGTGGTATTTTACAGCAGCCCAAGCAAATTAATGGGCTTCCTGGTGGTTCAGACACTAAAGAATCTGCCTGCAGTGCAGGTGACCGGGATTTGATCCCTGGGTGGGGAAGATCCCCTGCAGAAGGAAACGGCAACCCACTCCTGTATGCTTGTCTGGAGAATTCCATGGACAGAGAAGCCTGGTGGGATATAGTCTGTGGGGTCACAAAATATCGAACACGACTGAGTGCCTAACGAGCAAATTGATACGACGGGTCAGGTGACTTGTTCAGGGTCACGCAGCTGTTAGGTGAAGGAGCTGGGATCCAGATCTGGGATCGGGTCTGACTGACCCCAGCCCCTGAGCTCTTGACCACCCCATTGTAAGGAGGGCAGACGACAGGGTTTTCTTCTTTGATGCGCGACTCGAGCTGCGTTTGATGCCGGGTCCCAGTTCTGGGCAGCACTCTTGTCTATCCTTGTGCTCTAGCAGTAGCTCCAGACCCCAGGGACACCGCAGCCTTCCTCCTTCCTCGCTGCCTCTGTGGATGCAGCCCTGAGAAGGCTGGGACATTGGGCGGAGCCTTGGGGACGTCTTTCCAGAGCCCGTGGAGACCCAGGGCTCTTCTGAGCTCTGCAGTGGCTGCCCCTGACTCTGAATCAGCTGCCAGGAAACTCTAAGTGGTCAGAACTCCGGGACCCAGCTGCTACTTCACAGGTTCTTACTGGGAGGTGACACCTGTAGCCACGGCAACGGGGAATGTATTTTACACCTTCTGCTGGAGTTTGAAGCAGAGAGGTGCCCCCTTCTTGGGCACCTGAATGCCAGCCCAGACACTTCCTTAGGCACAGGAGGACTCCCGGCCAAGCCCTTCTTCATCAGTGACCTGTGCCCCAGTGGGGAAGGGGGCTGCCCAAGGACAGACCCAAGGCCTAGGTCTGGAAGCCAGTCTCCATCTACCACCCGCTGAGCCTGGCTTGGCCCGCTTCTGCCCCAGGCCCAGAGGCTCGCCCTCATCTCCCAGGGTCTGCTGCAGGTGGCGGCCGGGGGCTGGCATACCTGAGAGGTTGGAAAGGGTCTTGGCGGAGTGGCAGTACTGCTCCAGCAGTGCCCACACGGGCTGGTCTCTGGGTGCCTGGCTGGACCCCACCTAGAGCACAAGAAGGATGAAGGTCAGGCTCTGGCTAGACAGTGACAGCATATGTCCACCCCTCGCTGCTCCCTGCCCCGCCCTGTCCTGTCCCTTACTCCTCTATATCATACAGAGTTAAAGAGGAGGGAAAGTTCAAGGCCCCACACAGCAGACCAGCAGCCTGGCCAGGCCTGGAACCCTGACAAGGCTTTAGAGGTGGTCTAGTGCAGCTTGGTGCCCCAGGGAAGAACACGCTCTGCCCACCCCTCAGCCCTTAAAGGTTTCCTCCCCAGGATGGGATGTGCCCTGTGCTCTTTGGTTGGCAAAGCTGGAGTGGGGGTGTCCACCAGCCCTTCAATCCCCCAGCAAACACTGTACAACCCCGACTGTGTGTCAGGCCCGGGCTGGGGGACACAGTGAGACTCTTCAAAGTAGTTCCAGGTCAGGTAGTGACCCCCTAGACTTGGAGGCTCAGAAGAGATGGGAGAAGAGTGGATAGTTTGACTTTGTTTCCCTGTCACACAGGTAAACAGGCAATTACAAAGGTTAATATGTGGAAGAGACTCCTAACTTGAACTTGGGAAGACAGGGGAGGCTTCCTGGAAGAAGTAGCACGTTGGGGGCAGCCAGAAGGACGAGTAGGGGAAAAAGGAAGGGACCACGGTGCCAATGTAGAGACTTGCCTGGGAACAAATATGGTTGTTGTAACAATGGCAATCCCATCCAAAAGACAGAAACCACCCAGGATCACATCTCCTGAAAAAGTCATGAGGGAATGCAAGATATGGAGGGATAAAGTAGATGTGGTTATCTCTGTCCTCGAGGGGGACCATCTTCTGGTGGGAAAGATGGACAGATAACCAACTTGTTACAGTGTCTATAATTTGCTTAGAAGGAATGGGGTAGCATTACAGAGGAAGTCACACTGATGTGGGCTTTGAAGATTGAGTAGGAGTTTGCCCAGTTGATAAGGGTAGTGCTGGGATAGAGGTGGTGTCATAAGGGTAAGGGTAGTGTCATAGATAGATAATGACACATGTGCAAAAACCAGAGAGGTTGGGAAATGTATGGTGTGAGACTGAACAAAAGCAATGCCATCTACATTTCTAACCATCGTTTCCCATTCTTTCCAAGACCACCACTGTTCTTATCCTATGACCAGTGTGTGTGTGTGTGCACTTGTGTGTGTGTGTATGAGATGACTTTTGCACCACCCCAACACTGATATTTCTGATTCTAGGGAAGACTGCTCCTGTAGTGGGCAGCCCCTTCCCTCTCTCCTGCCTGTCAGATGCTCCCTCCCTGGCAGCTGGGTCAATGTTTGCCCTACAATATTCCCAGGACCAGAGCCTGACAGCCCTCAAACATCACGTTCCTCACATCAGGCTTAGTCCATTTCCTGTGCTGGGGCTGGAGGCCACACACTCACCCTCACCACGCCAGCCTGGAACCCCTAATTAATTACCCCGCTTGGTCAGATGGGAGAGCGAGGGTGGCACGGCCAGCACCTACAAGCACTCATTGCTCCTGGGTTCTGTCAACTGTCTCCACAGGGCTAAGGGCAGAAGGAACTGCTGGGGAGCAGAAGTCCTGTGTGTGAGGTTAGTGTGCGTAAGGGGTATGTGTGCGGGGCATGTATATGTCTGTGTAGGGTGTGTGCTTGTGTATGTGAATAATATGCATATAGCGTGTGTGTGCTATAAGGAGCTTCCTGAGCCATCGGCCAGGAGCTCTGGCCATTTGGCTTGCAGGACAGACACTGGGAGCCATGGTCCTGTTGTTCACATATCCCAGGGATGCCAGGAGCTACCCAATGTCAGCTTCTTGGGCATCAGGAAGGCCCAGCTGCCCAGAGAGCCGCCTACCAGGAGTGAGGTGGGCTGGGGAGGGACACTCTGGGTCCCAAGATCCTCCAAGAATAATTCTGGTGTCCCACCCTCAGCTGGTCTGGGGAAAGTGCGGGTCCTAGGCCTGACCCATTACCCCTTTCCAACCCCCTTCTCTTTGTTGAGAAGCATCTGGTAACAGTTTATTTGGGGGGATGGGGTGAGTTCGAGGAAGCCGCCAGCCTCTGGAGGTCATTGGAGAAGCAATGCTCAATGCAGAGGCACTCAGCTTTAATGGTGGACTGTGACCGACCAGATTTTGAATCTCAGATGCAAGCTCCTTCTCTCAAATCCCCCAAAGGTCACACTATGGCATAGTCACTCAGGCATCTTGTGTTCAACGTTAGGTGGGAGTCTGAACACGTGGTGCTAAGCTCACGGACAGGGACGCAGGACATCCTCCAGTGGGACTCAGGCTTTGTGGGGTGTCCTTGTCTCAGTCGCTGTGACCTGAGGCCACAGCTGAGTCTTCTTGCTGAGTAAAGCAGGGGGCACAGCCACTGTGCTCAGCATCGGTGTGTGCTGTTCAAGCGTGGGCAAAATGGCAAGCAGATCAGAAAGGGTTTGGAATAACTCCCAGATCTGGACTCCCTCTCCTTCTTTGCTGGTCCAATAAGCTGGCAACGACATCCATTCTCTTCAAGGGGCCAGTTGGGTGGATCTGACTCAGCTCAAACCTGCGGCATACCCTGGAGGTGCCTATTTTGGACACAGCCGCTGCTGCGGGTGGTGGTGAGCGGTAGGTGGGCAGGGAGGAGGATGAAGAGACTGGTCCCCTCAGAAAGCACACGGTGGGCCAGGGAGAGCAGAGACACAGCCACGAATAAATACCCCCAAGGGCTGGGTGATGACCTCTCAGAGGCGGCAGACTGCAAACACGCCCACAATCAGGGCTCTCGGGTTGCTGCTCCTCAGCGCTGTGGCCTTGACCAAGTTATTTAACTTCCTTGAGTCCTGGCCTCCTCCTTTGAAATGAGGATAATACAGGCCCCTGGATTTATACATTAAATAATACATTAAACAAATTACCGAATGTCAAGAGCTGGCACATAGAAGACACATGTTCCATGGTAGCCCTCATCATGGGCTCTAGGAGGGGTCTAGTTAGAGAGTTCAGAGATAGAGGATTCAAACCTCATTAGAGGGAGTCCCATGGCCTGGATCAAGCCCTTCTCCTCTAGAAAAACCTCCTGGAAACCCTGTGTTCCACCTTCCAAACCCTCCAGCCAGTGCAGCTCCCCCTCAGCTCTCTGCAGCCCCCCTTCCACAGACAGTGGCCCCTGAAAGTATATCTGCAGCTCCCTCACTGGGCTGACTGCTCAGCAGTGCTCAATGGATGCTGGGTGAAGAAACTGGGCATGGAAATCAAGTCCAAGGGAGGAGGAAGGGTAAGAGAAGCAGAAAGAAACGCTAGGGGCAGGAGTTGGGCAAGCAAAGGCTGAGAGGCAGGGAAGAACACGGCCTGCTCAGGAAGCAGCGAGCTTCTGGTCTAGGGATGTTATTAAGAGGGCAGGACTTCCCTGGTGGTCTGGCGGTTAAGAATCCGCCTGCCAATGCAGGGGACATAGGTTCGATCCCTGGCCCAGGAAGATTCCACATACTACGGGGCATTTAAGCCCACAAGCCACAACTACTGAAGCCTGCCTGCCCTAGAACCCATCCTCTGCAACAAGAGCAGCCACCGCGATGAGAAGCCGGCACAGAGCAACAAGAGCCTAGCCTGTGCTTACTGCCGCTAGAGAAAACCCACCCCAGCAATGAAGACCAACGCAGCCAAAAATAAATAAAAATTTTAAAAAGAGAGCAGAGGGTTGGAAAGAAGCTTCTTTGATGTGTAGTCAGCATTTCCTATGTGCTAAATGAAGCTCTGAATGCTTCAGCAAAGCCCATTTAATCCTCACAATTGCCACTGAGGTCTCTGTAATGATCCCATTTTACAGGTCAGGCAACTGAGGCCCAGAGTGGTAAAGTCACTGCTCAAGGCCACACAATGAGTGAATAAGGGGCAGAGGCAGGATTGGACAGACGGTCTAGTAGGTTAAGATACACACGGAAGAGCTGGGTAAGGAGGTGAAGGCCTGTGGTCCACGGATGCTGGGAGGACCCTGGCTCCAAACAGGGTGAGTAAGAAGCTGCTCTCACCACTGGAGTGGGGGGCTTCAGGCAGACAGCTAGGTCATGGCAGGAGAGGAGGCAGACCCAGTCAGTAGGGCAGGGTGTGCTCAAGAGAGACAAGAAGTCTGGCTTCTGGAACTGACTCTGAGCCACCTGAAGACCTCTTTATCTCTTATGTGGGGGACACCTTGGGCTTCTACTGATCAGCTCTTGGCTGTCACAGCAGCAGAGAGTTGTCTTGACGCCTCAGTCCTGCCCCATGAAGCTACAGGCTGCCGGACCTCAGGGCCCGTGTCTGTTTGACTCACATCCAGGTCACAGTTCCCAGTCCAGAGCCTGGCACACAGCAGGTGCTCAATAAATGTCTGTGTGGATGAGACCATGGCTCCCTCCACCAGGTAGAGTGGCACCCTGACCCCCAGTTCTGGGAGCTCAGGCTCTGGGGTTTCCCTGCTTGCCAGGCAGCCTTCTTTCTGAATTCTCCCTTTGAGAATGGCTGGGGTCCTAGTTACAGCCTCGCTGAGCCTGGAGTCGGAAGTTCTCACCTTAGACGAGGGCAAAGGAGTCGCCCTGGCAGGGGGAGAAGGCCGTGGGTTGAAGCCAAGATGCCAGCTGTTCTTTCTCCACCCTTGGGCCCTGTCCAGGCAGAACCTGTGCCCCGAGGCCAGGCGGGCTTGAAAGGTGCCACCTCCCCAGAGCCAGGGGGTCTGGCCCAGCCTAGTGCTCCCTCCTGGCTTGGTGACAAGGCTTCCTCTAAAATTAGCCACTGGTCTAAGCCTGGGAGATTTGGGACCACAGGTCCTGTAGCCAGGCTGCCAGTAACTGGAGGGGAACCGGGTGAGCTCCCACCCTGCCTCCCCCTTCTCTGCCCAAGGTCAGAGAGGACTCCTCTGGCGGGGGAGGAGTCCTCCCCAGGGTTCTCTTTCATTCACCGGTTTCATTGAGCCTGAGCTAGGAATAGAGGCAGGAGAAACTCAGGCCCTGTCTCAGGGAAGGAGGAGGAGATGAGGCCACTGGGGGACAGGGCGGGCAGGAAGGAGGAGAGAGGGGAGAAAGGGGAGAGGAGAAGAGGAACAATAGAGGGAGACAGAGGGGCAGAAGCGAGGGAAGAAAGGTGGGGGAGAGGAGGCTGAGTCTGGGCCCTGAGCAGACACAGTGGAGGCCATACTGGAGCCGAGGCTGGCCGAGGCAGAGGCTGAGGGACTGGCAGTCAGACGAAGGTGATTATCTTCTGGGGTATCTGGGCAGACTTTCTGGAAGGTGCTCTGTTCTAAAAAATCAGCTGCCCAGACCTCTGAGTGAAGACCCCAGGAGTCCACAGCCGCCTTCCAGCCAGATCTCCCTTCCCCGCATGTTCCCCAGGTCCCTCTGCCCAAGATGTCCCACTCTCCCGTCCAGCCCACCAGCTTGCCTGGAGAAACTTCCAGGCCCCTCCTTGCCAGTGTTCTCCCTCGTCTCTGAAAGCCCGTGGTGCCCTCTCACCTCTGTCCCGCTTCTGTCCCGTGCCACGCCCTGAGTTCTGCGCACAGATGTCTGAGGCCAGCAGGGAGGGATACAGAGGGTGGGGGAGGAGGGAAGGCAGGAACTGCAGGAGCCGTCTCAGAACGGGTCACGAGGCCTAAATGATCTCTTAATGATCCACTCATCTAATGTCAGGCTGCCTTAGAGTCACCTTTTTCTGATTGTTTTGGTATCTGACTTACGTTTTCATTAACAGAACTGAATCTGCAGTCAGTCTATCTCCTTTGAATCCTGGCCCTACTACCAGTAGATGATTGACCACGTGAACTGTGTCAGCTTTCTCACCTGTCAAATGGGGGTAAATGATGGTCTTATGCTCCAGGGTGATTGTGAAGCTTAAAACCAGTAATGTGTCTCAGGGCTCAGAACAGTATCAAGCATGTGGTAAGCCCAGTGCAGATACTAAAGAGAATAAACAAAATAAGCTTATGGAATAATATACCCCTCCCTCTGGAAGATTTGAAATGACATCTTAAAAAAACAGAATTTGGATACAATGACCTGAGACAAACTGACTGAGGAGTTCTAAAAACGCTTAAAATTAGATAAAGTAGAAAATGACAGTTAAGAGAATACAGAATAGTCCCGTAATTCATAAAGTGCTGCAAATCTGAGACTGACTAGGAATATGAAATTAAATGGGCAGTGCCCTCAGACAAATTGGTTTTTTAAAAACATACTAAAACATCAACAAAATGGCAAAAATGGAGAGACTAAATTAGTTGATTAGGTTAGAAAACACTCAGAGAGTACTTGAATTTGGGGGAAGAGTTATTAAATGAATTAACTTCTGGTAAATGGCCCCTGAGTTCCCCCACCCCCACCCTGTAGGCCCTGGGTATAGGGGGCGGGCGGGGGTGTCCTGGGCCCTGGCCTTGGTCCTGGGGCGGGCTGTGCAGGTCCGGGAGGGTCCAGGCTTCTGGACTCTGGGTTTTCCCTCTTTGCTGAGCCTTCTTGGTACAGATGACCCCACAGGAAGCAAGAAAAGTTGTTTTGAGGTCCTGAGGGAGTGTCTTGTTGCCCAGATGTCTGAGGATCTGGACCCAGATAAGACTCTTGGGGTTTTCACAGAGGGCGATGTTGTTGCTCTTTAGTCGCTAAATCATGTCTGACTTTTTGTGACCCCATGGCTGGTAGCCTGCCAGGATCTTCTATTGATGGGATTCTCCAGGCAGGAATACTGGGTTGTCATTTCCTTCTTCAAGGATTCTTCCTGACCCAGGGATTGAACCTGTGTCTCCCTCATTGGCAGGCAGTTTCTTTACCAGTGTGCCACAGGGGGCGAGGCAGTTTTAATCAAGGATTTTGGAATCCAGCACCATCTTCCTTAGCCTTACTTGACCTCCACTTCCGTCTGTAAATAAATGTCCCCACCTTCCCAGTGTTTTAGTAAAGGGCTTGGCAAGGCGTCTGGTGCCCGAGAAGGCTGCGTGATTTCAGCACTGCTTTCAAAGTAGCTTCTCAAGGGCTCAGAGGGCAGCCAGTAGCACCAGAGTCAAGGCTTGGCTCCTCCAGGCCCTTGCAGTTGGGGCTGGCCCAGGGTGTCCTCACTACTCAACTGCCTGCTGGAACTTTCACAATTGTAATAGTGAGATCAGGCTCCTCCCCAGGTCAGTGAGCCCTGAGTTCCCCAGGGATAGAAATCAGGTCCCACCACGACCACCATGCTCTCTGGAGCCTCACACCATCTCTTCTCAGGGTTGGGACCCTGGAGCCTTCCCTCTAGCTTGCTCTTTTCTCAGTGCCTATCTAGGACCACCCCATCTCCACCCCCGCCTTCCTGCCCACCTCCCGCCAGATCTCCTCCCAGTTCTAGCAGAGGCTCTTATATCTGCACACATTTGTTCTTAGCTCCCATGTGTGTGCTTAGCCGCTCTGTCATATCAGACTCTTTGAGACCCTTTGGACTGTTGCCCAGCAGGCTCCTCTGTCCATGGGATTCTCCAGGCAAGAGTGCTGGAGTGGGTTGCCATTTCCTCCTCCAGGGGATCTTCCTGAGCTAGGGAACGAACCTGCATCTCTGGTGTCTCCTGCATTGCAGGCAATTCTTTACTCACTGAGCCATCAGTTCCCATGACCAGTTAGTAAATACAAAATTAATTCTTCACCATTATTTTCTTCCTGCTCATGTCTTCTCTAGGCTAGCAGCTTTATAGGGTAAAGGCTGATGTTTTCACCCTTGTGTCTTTACCACACATGATCCTCCTTAAATACTGGTTGAATAAAGTATTACTGAATTAATGAGAGGGCTGGAGGCCAGGTCCCTCCTGGGTTCCCTTACTTCCCTACCACCTGCTCCAGGTCACTTACTCGATTTTCATAGACAACAGAAATCTCAGAATAGTTGGAAAAGGATCCAGAAATAAATAGCATTACCACAAAGACCCAGAGCAAGGAAGACTGCTCTTTGGGGCTAGAGAGACCACAGGCTCTTTAGCAGTTATGCAATGATAACTTCGGGTGGATAACTAGTCTCTAGTCTTGGGCCATCCAGGGGGCTAGGGGCAGGGCCTGGGTGGACTCTAAGGGGAGAGCAGACTCTTGCCTCTGAAGTTCCTGGTCCTAACGTCTGTGGGACCCAGGGTAACCTCCCACAGACTCTACCTGCATTGGAGTCTCGGACAGCAATCAGCAACCCTCTCCATCTAACCAGCTTAGGCAGTTGGCATCACAGCTCCCAGAGGGGCAGGGCCAAAGGGCAACCCTGGTCCTAACACCAGCTCCCTTGGAAAGCACCTACCCAGGGAATAAGTGCTAGGGGGCAAAAGAGTTCAGAGCCCAAGACATCAGGAGTGGGGATAAGCGGTTGTGGGTGGTAGTGAATCTACTCCACAGCCTCCACCCCTCCCTGCAATGTCATTAAAAGGACCTGGCAGGTCCAGGGACTGTCTGCCTAGTGGGGTACTGACCACACCTTGTACAGTGCCCCATCCTCTCTTCCACCTAACCAGACCCCCTGGAAGTGCAGGGCCCTCATGTCTTCATCTCAAGTACCTGGTACAAAACCCCAGCTGTATTTACTGAGTGCTAACTCTGTGCCAGGCACGGTCACAACCATTCCTCATGACAACCTTATTCATTAAGCACCAAAACCATCCTCATTTTACCCAGGAGGAAGTTGAGGGGAAATGTGAGTAGCCTGCCCAAGGTAACACACTAATCTGCAAAGCAGGGATTTGATCAGGTCTGTCGGCAAAACCCCTTTGCCACAGACAGTGGATGCCAAGGAGTCCTCTGTGACATATGGGGGTGGGACCAGGCCTCCTGACCTCCATCCTGGCTCTGACCCTTGGCCTGCATGGCCTCGAACCCTTTTAATGTTGTGGCTCTTCATGAAAAGTGTGGCCTTCCCTCTCTGAACCTCAGTTTCCCCATTTGTAAAATGGGGAAAGAGTTAGAGATCACTTCCTCCCGCATCCATTTCTGGGTATCACTCCCAACCTCACCCCCACTTCTGCAGCTCTCTCTGCACAGCTCCTCCCCATCTCAACACCCCCAGTTCCCACCTGCAGACCCTGACTCCGGCCAGTGCACACACCCACAGCTTTGGGCATGGGGGGATACTCACAGCTTTGAGAAGTGCTTGGCAAGATTGATTCCCCCAGGTGCCCCCTCGGCTCCATTGCTCATTTGGTACTGAGGGCTGCCTGGTTTCAGGCCCTGAGCCGAGGGTGGGGACCGGCCTGCCTGCAGGAGCCAGGGGACAGCTCTCCGGGGATCCCTTGTGGGGAGGGACCAGAACTGGGATGGGGTGAGGAAGGGACTTGAGGCTCCTGCAAGGGAGGGGGAGTGAGATCCATGGAGGAGGGGACAAAGTGGACAGAGACTAGGAATTCCTGGACCTGAGGAAAGGGCATGTCCTAGACACTAGGGTGTCTCCCTGCACATTCTGCTCATCCACAAGGGCTGCTAAGTCCCATCCTAGCTGGTGTTAAAGAGTTTCATTTCCCTCCCCTTCCCCCTCATTTAGGCAGGACATCTCCATCCCATCATAGGATGCAGGGATCCCCACCTCCATCCCAGCCACCAAGCCCTAAGACCGCTTCCATCCATCTCCTAACAGGGCTGAGTGAAACTAAGCCCAGTAACTAAGCAGTGAGCCCCCTACCCCCCACCTCCACCGCCTCGCAGTCAGGAGAGCACGGAGCTCCAGCTCCCAGCACCCCCACCCTGAGAACAGCCCCCCACCACCACACCCCACACTTACTTTAAGCAGTGGCGGAAGGAGGCAGAGCAGACAGAGGACACAGTGCGGGACGTGGAGGAGGCGTGGGGGCCCCGCGGGACCCCCCATACCCTCTGCGGCCGCGGACAGGAGCGCACCTCCCAGCGCGGCCGTCCCGCCCCACCCACCGCCGCCCGTGCCTCCCACTCTCCTCCGCTACGGGCCAGAGCCGAGTGGGCCCCTCCCTCCCCAAGGTATGGCCCCGGGCGCTGGGGGTATCTCCCGCCTCCCCCGCCCGCAGGGACACCGCCCCACGGCCCGCCCCCTCCAGGTTATTTATAGCGGTGCTGGGCAGTGGCTTCTGCCTAGGCAGCCAGAGCCCAGACTCTGCCCCCAGAGAAGGGGTTAATGCCTTTCACCAGCCGGCCACCTTTGCCAGGGCTGGAGCTCCCTGCTCTGGGGAGAGAGGAACTGAAAAGGGAGGAGGGGGTCTTGGCGGTGGCTGTGGCCAGAGCACTGAATAGGCCGGGTAGATCGCATCCCCACCAGGTTTTCCAGCCCTGCCCGCATCTTCTAATTGTCCCCGGGAGCTTTTACCAGGCACCATGCCTACTGGAGACTTTCCTGTTGGCTCAGACTGTAGAGGGTCTGCCTGAAATAGAGGAGACCCAAGCTCAACCCTTGGGTTGGGAAGATTCTCCTGGAGAAGGGAAAGGCAATCCACCCCAGTATTCTTGCCTGGAGATTACATGGACACTGGACTCCTGGGCTACAGTCCATGGGGTCACAAAGAGTCTGACATGACGAGAGACTAACACTATGCCTATTGGGACAATTGAAATTCCTATGTGGAGGCCAAATTGAATAATAGCTCTGTATCAATGTTCAACTTGCTGATTTTGATGACTGCACTGTGGAGTCTTGTTCTTATTGAGTAATATTTAGGGCTACAGGGGCACCATATCTCAAACTTATTTTCAGATGCTTCAGAAATACACATACACATGCACACATAAATACATACACTGTGATAAAGAGAACAATATACCAAATGAGGCAAAATGTAAATAATTGGGAAATGTGGGCAACCACATATGTATTCTTTGGATCATTCTTCCAAGTATTCTGTAAATTCGAAATAAAAAGCTAATAACTGTATTAAAAAAACAAAACAAGGACAATAAATGCAGCAATGCCAGGCCCCACCCAGAGTTTCTGCTTTTATAGGTTGGGGTGGGGCCCAGGCATTGACACGTTTCAGTAGATTTCACAGGGACCCTGATACCCTGCAGGGCTGAGTGATGCTGCCCTCAGATGGGGACAGGTCCAGACTGGGGCTGGAGGTGAGGCCAGTTCTCTGGGAGCCCTTGCAGCAGCCTCTGGAACTGTCCAAACAGGTGGGCCTGGTGTGCAGAGTTGAAAAGCTTAAGCAGCAGTTCTAATGTTGTTAGGATCTGAGGGGAAAGCATTTGAGGAATGTGATTAGTGAGGCACTGAGCTTTCCTGGGAGGGTGCAGCCCAAGTTCAAGAAACTTAGACCCTTTGTGTTCACTCTGGCCTCTGCCTGGGACACTTTTCTGCCCCTCAGGTCCTCTACCCTCTTCCTCCAGGTAGCCCTTCCTGACTGTGCCTTCAGCTTCCACATCGCCCTCCCCTAAAGTCTTAGGGCCTTAATCTGAGCCTGTGTCTCCTCCTTGATGTGCATTGTTTGCTGAAGGCCCTTCAATGAGGTTGGTCTCCAACCAGTTTGGCCAGGAGGCTGGAGGCACTTCTTTTTATTTCTTCCTGTTGTCCGAGTCTAGCTCCTGTAGTGCACAGGCATCTTTATGGGGAAAGCAAAGGAAGGGTAAACCAGATATCCCCATTCACTTGAAGATGACAGGGAGGAAACCTCTGAGACAGGACCCAGTCCGATAGACTTGGTCAGAGAGGGCTCCTGGCAGGAGATGACCACTCAGCAGGACTTTGACTGAAGGGTAGGGAGACTCAGAAAGAGAGTTGATGGGTCATCATGAGGATCACCAGTCCTTTTCAGCACGTGTTACCAAAGCACGTCCACGGCCAGCCTCACAGTGGGTGCTGTGAGCAGAGAGCAGAGGCTCTGACCTCAAGGTCAGCCTCGTTGCCTGTGCAGAGAGCGCCAGGAGAGGGAGCAGACGTGGAGCCAATGAGGTCTGGGTGTGGGTAACTGTGAAGGGAGCTGAGAGATGGTACAAGGTGCAGGGCAGCTCAGGGAGTGATGGGGGGACTCCAGGGAAAATGTGCTACAGGAGACTTTTGAGTGATTTAAAGTGATGGAGAAGGGAGAGACCTTTCCAGAGGGAGGTTAGGGAGAGCAGGAGCTAGGAGATGGGCAAATACAGCTGGCTGGCCTGGGTGTCTGACTGGGGTGGGGACAGCGGAGGGCCAGGTGGCAGAAGACAGGCTGCAAGGAAGCTAGATCTGCTCTAGTTCTAGGAGGGTCTACAGAGCAGGCAGGGTGCTGGGTCCCGATTCCTCTCTGGCCAGGCATTCTGTGTGTGCTTCAAAATCAGTGCCCTTCCGCAGCCTGGAATGTTCATAGGAGGGCATCTCTTGGACAACTAGAGCCACATTTTGCAACAACGTAGGAATTGATCTCCAGGAACCCAGAGGTTTACATCTTCCAACCCCCAAGGGCTTACTTTGCCATTGACTGGCTGGTGCTCCTTTACCTGGAGGTGAACCAACTCCAGATGTAATTAACACTTGGGGCTCCCACGCATCTCATTGCTGAGGGTCTCCTTTCCCCTCTCTGTCATGCTTTCCCCCCTCTCTTACCAGTCTCTTCTGGGAGCACCTCCCTCATGAGTGCTATATGGGAATTCTCATCTCATCGCTGGGGACCTACAGGAGCCTAGAAGTTTAGGAAAGTCTGGACTTGGCCCTCCTAGATGGAATGGGTTAAAAACATATAGCAAAAATAATACAAGACATACAAACATTTTCGAGCCCCTGAATTGTCCCCTGGACAGCTCTTCTCTGCTCTCACAGATTGTTGGTGGCCGAAGAGACCCTGCCTGAAGTTATTGATCTGGGCAAGGCTAATACAAAGTGTCATTTATAAGCTTTCTGTTCCTAAGGGAAAACTGGGGCAGAAGACACTTTTATTTATGAAAATGCCTTTATGGCCCTTTTTAGATTCTGAAAGATGAACTGAGGGTGGTCTAGAAGGGAGGTAGGTGATTTCTTTGTAAAATAAAGCAGTGGAAATTCTGAAATTTAGCTCAGTTTGGCATCTGAGACAGTGAAAGGAGTAGAAGGACTGGAATCTGAGCCGAGGGTCTCAAAGAGAAAAGGGGGACAAGGACCGCAGGGCAAGCCAGGTCTGAGGAGGAGAAGGCTGGAAGGGCCTCCCAGCGGTGTGAATGGTCAGTGAACATTAGCAATGGGGCTGTAATTACCCTCCTCCTCCACTACCCTCACCTTTAGAAATAGTGCATCCTACGAGAGAGCAGGTGCCAGCGATGCTTGGAGAATGAGGCCAGGTGCTGGGCCTGTGTGTGGACAGAGCTGGAGAGGGGTCAGCAGAGGCAGGAAGTGGGAGGGCACTGGACATTGTTTTGTCTGGAATGGTGTTGTCCTTCTGAGCAATGCTGCATTCTCTGTCCCAGTGTTTCTCAATGTATTTTTTCATTATCACTCCTCCACCCAAAAGGAGGCTATTTTAGATTTCTTTTTTCCTATTTTCCCTCCCCACTATGAAATTTTAATGCCACAGACATATTTTGTGTCTGTTTATGTGCTATAGTTCTTTGGTGGGCCATCAACCCTTATAATATCTTGCCTTCCAAGAACCACTTTTTGCTTCCTTAGGAGCATGATTCTTCTCCTCTGCCTTCCCCCGGAGTGCATGTTCTAATTCAGCCATGTGATTGCATTGGCCCAATGCAATCCATCAGGCTGGACAGACAAGAGGGCCTCACCCCACTGAGCACAGCTGGTTGGTGCAAGATTGGGCAGCTGATGTGAACTGACTCAATCAGAGGTCTTCCCTTGGGTTTTTGAACTTTGCATCTAAGAGGAAGACAATTCCTCTCTTGGAGAAACTGACAGATGCAAAGTGCGGCAACTGCCAGGATGTTGACAGTTGTCTGGGGAAAGCCAAGCTGAAGAAAAGGGGAGCAGAAAAAAGAGGACGGGAGAAGGTCCTGGTAACCTTTGAGTCTCTGGTTCCAGTCCATCCAGAAACCCACTGTGCTTCTGCCCCCAGGAAGGAACTCTCAGTAAATCTTCCCTGACACCCTGAGCTAGTCTGAAGTGTGTTTCTGTGTTGACAATCCAAGGAATTCTGATCAACATAGAAGGATCAAGAACTGAACAGAGAGACTTCCCTGGTGGTCCAGTAGTTAAGACTCTAAGCTCTCAGTGTGGGTGGGGTGGGGTGTGGCGGGGCTGGGTTCGATACCTGGTCAGAGAACTGGATCTCACATGCTGCAACTTCAGAGTTTGTATGCTGCAACTAAGGCCTCATCCACACAGCTAGATAAATGAGTAAAAAGAATTGAACAGTAGAGTTTAGAACAAAAGGTGACCAGGAAAATGGAAGGTACCCCCCATCCCCATGTCTGGGAACCAGAACTGTCAGGGAGAACCTGAGTTTCTGTAAGTCTAATGGGCAGGCGCAGTCAGTTCGTGGTGTTGGCTGTGAAAGGAAAGGGTGGTTTTGGAGGACACTTGGGTTGCACGTGTCTCTGAGCAGGGGCGGGACAAGGCTGGATCTGCCTCTAGAATGCTTGCTTGAGAAGCAGGGTGGTTGGTCTTGGGTCAGAGCACCAAGTCTGAAGTTAAGGAGAAAGCAGAGTGGCTGGGACAGTGGCCCAGGCAAGAGATAAGAGGACATCTCAGTCCTGAGTCTGTCGGGAAGGCAGAGTCTGCACCATGAAGGGGATGTTGGCCAGGCTCCCTGTCCTGCCTTCTGGGGCCACTGCCCTGACATCATCTCTCATCTTGCCCCCCAGCCATTTATCACGTTATTTCCTTAGTTTAGCTGTGCTCACACCCATTTAGCCTCAGACTGCAGAGTATGCTTTTGCGATGCAATTTCAGAACATGGTGTTATAGCGTAGCTGAAAGAACAGGCATTGATTTTGCTCACTATTTGCTTTTAT